CAATTTAGCCGCATCTCGTAATTCTTCTCGCTCTTTTTGTATATTTTTGTCGATTTCGGTTAAGCTCTCGATGAATTTACTTAAATCCTTATCAGTTCCTCCGCGTTGGTTGTACCCTAACAGCATCTTACTTGGAGTAGTATTTATAGCCTTGTGCCACGTATTATTTAAGATAAATTGTGTTTTCCCGAGTATTTGATCCCATGAATCTGTTTCGTTAATTAATTTGGATAAGGTAGATTTTAGAAATCGGTTAACGCGCTCAACCTGCCCGTTAGCCCACGGTGACGCTACCGCTGTCATTACATGCGTAATGTCGTATTCTTGGGTAAGGCTAGTGAATACTTTAGAGGAAAAAGCAGTTCCGCGATCACTGATAATTCGCTCTGGACAACCAAATAAATTTATTAATGTCTTTATATGAGATATTACTTCGCTTGTTGTAGTTGATTTACATGGAAATAACCAAACATATTTGGTATATGCATCTACCGCGACAAGAATATGCTTGAATCCGCTTTTCGTTTCTTCCAGAGGACCGAAATGATCAAGATGGATCGTATGCATCGGTGTGTCGTTTATCTCTACGATTTCTAATTCTCCCTCCATTTTCCCGGACCCGATTGAATAAGTAAGACATTTCACGCAGTTTTCGATATGCTGTTTGACCTTTAGTTTCATACAGGGGAACCAATAATGATTTAATATCCCGTGAATCGTTTTATCGACACCTACGTGTCCCATTTCGTCGTGGTTTACGCGAATAACATTTTCCATCATACTTTCTGGCACTACAAACAGTTGTTTATCGCGATAATTTTTAAATATTAATCCGTTCACCAAAGAAAACCGTTGATTTTCTTTTATTTCTAGTTCTGATGCAAGACTTTTAAGTTTAGGATCCGACAACTGTTTGTACATGAGTTCGTCCTCAAACGAAATGTTTAGCACCATCATTACATTGCGACTGAGACAATCTACATGTATCATTTTACCAGACGAACGATGCGTCAACTCGAATTTATAGTTTTGCATTATTAAACTCCATCGTGCGATTCTCGGATTAATATTAATTTTTTTCATGGCCATTACCAGGGAGTTACAGTCGGTTACTATTTTAAAATTTATTCCGTGTAAATATACGTGAAACCGTTCAATTGCCTTGACGATGGCTAACGTTTCAAGCTCAAAGCTGTGATACTTTTTTTCTGCTTCGGTTGTGGACTTATTATAAAATGCAACCGGACCGAACTGACCGTTTTGTTGTTTTTGCAAAAGAATGGCTCCAAAACCATGACTGCTTGCATCCGTGTGTAACTCCGTAGTAGCCGTGGGGTTATACACGCATAATACCGGGGGTGACGCCAACTCTTTCTTAAGCTTTTCGAAAGCCATTACGCAATTTTCATTAAAATCGAATGGTACATCTTTTTTAAGTAATTCTTGTAAACACTTTGTTTTTAGTGCGTAATCTTTTATAAATCGTCGGAAATAATTACTTAGGCCTAAAAATCCTCTTAATTCTCTTAAATTTGTAGGTGGTGGAAAGTCTAGAAATGCTTGTACATGTTTTTCGCTTAGTGTTATGTTTCCATCTTTTACTAAATATCCGAGATATTCTATTTCGGTTTTTAGGAAAGAACACTTCGTAAAATTTAGTTCCAGTTGATATTTTTTTAACAAAATCAAAACTTCCTCTAAAATTTCAAGATTTTCCTCAAAATTAGTGGTCGCTATTAGAATGTCATCAAGATAAAGTTGTACTTTATTACTACGGACCAAATCTTTGAAAATATCGTAAACTCTTTTTTGAAATTCAGCCGGGGACTCTGAGAATCCAAACGGTAATTTCTTATATTCATATTGCCCGCTCGGAGTGGCAAACGAAAAGAATTTAGTGCTTTCGGGATGAATTGCAATTTGATGGAAACCATCAAATTGCAATTCATGTCTAATTTCATTTCTAATTAGACATTTCATGTCTAATTTAGTATAAATTTTTTTCCCGTATATCTTGTCTAATTGATCTTCCACGATCGGAAATGGATATTTTTGTTGGTGAACGCGTTGATTTAATGGTCGTAAGTCGACACACATTCTCTTTCTCCCGTCGCGTTTCGGCACCAATACCACTCTCGAACAATATGGTGAAACACTATTTTTAATGATATCTCGTTTTAGCAAATCATCTATTATCTCTTCCAACTATTTTCTTTCCTGTACCGACATTCTTCGCGATACCGAAAAAGAGACTCGTCTTTCAAGATTACTTTTACACAATAATCATCATTAATCGGCTCGACATCTAATTCATCTACTTTCTTTAACAGTTTCATTAATTTATTTTTATACGTACCGGGCAAATTATAATCTAGACTTTCCATTACCTTATCATAACGCTCGCTTTTTTCGATTACATCTATCTCGAAAATCGAACAAACAAAATTGTTTTCTTTCTCCTTTTCGAAACTATATGCTCCTTTATAAAAAACTAATTTAATATTCGCGTTTTGAAAAAACTTTCTTCCCAGCAACACATCATAATTCATTGTATGATCATCGACAATTAAATATTCAATATCCATCCACGTATCGTTCAAATTTTCGACAGTTATTTGATCATACATTTTACCAATTATATTAATTTTAGAATTAGTTACTCCGCGTAAAAGTACCGAATTTTTAACCTTAAATAACTCTTTATTCGCAAAATATTTATTGTATACCGAATGTCTCATCAAACTCACAGGACTTCCAGTGTCGACCAGAGCTTCCAATTGAATACCTCGTTTACTCATGCTACTGATCCGAATACACGGCTTATCCTCCTTGGTGCACTCTCGGTTGATGTGGAGGGTGGCTTCTTCCGTTGTCTCCGACTCGCTTCCCGCCGTTGTCTCGCGCTGCTCGATCAAATTATTGGTGGCCGCTCCTGCTCCAGCACTCTTCTTCGGGCATGTATTGCTCAGGTGACCTTCCTTCCCGCACTTGAAACATGTTAGCTTCTTATTGGGACAGTCCTTGGAGATATGGCCTGTCTGTTTACAGCTGAAACAGGCCTTGTCGTTTGAATCCGAACGCGTGTGGTTGTCTTTGCTTGGAAAACGGCTACGTCCTTCTGACCGAAGATCGTTCTTCTTGTTCGGGATCGTATCTTCCGTTATTTTTCGAACAAATTCTAAAAAATCTGGAATGTTCATGGCACCTGAACTTAGCGCCAATTTTCTTATCATCGGTTCTTTGATGCCATCCGTTAAGAGTTCGATCTTCTCTCTCTCCGTCAATGATAGAGTTTGCATCAAATCCAGCTTCGCCTCTGCGTAATCGGCAAATTTTTCTTTATGCGACTTCCAAATCCTCTGACCGATTCTCGACAACGTGGTTGTATGATTCTTTAATTTCGAAGTGCCGTCTGATTTGGAATTGGAATTCATTCCAAGTGCCCACCGTCTCCAGCGATTGTCGATTATGCCATTGTAGAGCCCGATCTTTTAATTGCGAGACCGCTGCTAAAACTAGCACATCGTCCGGTAATCTGTACATTCGTGCGACACTTGAAATCCTTTCCAGCCAGCGTACTACGTTGTCCTCTTCTTTCCCCGAAAAAGGAGGTATCAACTTCGCCGCAAATTTAATTTGTTGCCAGCTATTCGTCGTCGTACTTCGTTCGCTGATAGCCGGACTCTCTCCTCTCCGTCCTTGGGGTGACGTATCCGCGCTGTTTCCATTACTGGTTCGTTGCCGCTCCTCCATGATTTGGACCACTGCCTGCACAATCTCCTGAATGTTCACTGCTGCATTTGCTCTCGGTGTTCCCACGTGTCCTTCCGCGGCTTCCCCGGATCTTGTAGCAATATGATATAATCTCGAGGCGATAAGCGTTTGAGTTACGCGGGCATGGCGCAATTATCATAGAGTTTTCGTTTTTGTCCGTATAGTTGGCGTCGCGTTACGTCACGGTATTGTTTTGGTTTGTACGACTGCGCGTTCTCTAGTGGTTCACCTTTGTCTTGCGCTATGCTCGTACCTGCCCGCGGATACCTTTGTAATCCTCTTTAGAAATAAAATTGCGGTATTCGTTTTGAACTTATATGCCGTGCTTTACTCTCTCCTGTGCCATTACCCTGCGCACGAAATCTCTAACATTTGGTTATGGGCCCAGTTGCGTGCGCGTGCAGTGAAGAGAGATAAGCAGGTTACCGGCATAACAAAGAAGTGCCACGTGATACGTTCGTGGTACGCGGTTTGTGCGAGCGTGCAGCGCGGACAGTGTGTGCGTCGTGCCAGAAGTCGTAAGTGCAAAAGAAAAGGGTACTGTGCTTGCAAGCAACATGGCAGAATCGATGCACTTGCCTCCTATTTCGAAGTTGAAAGGGAGAGAAAATTATGCCACGTGGCGAATCGCGATGGAAAACTGCCTGCAAATGGACGGCTTGTGGAAAGCGGTACAGGGTACCGAAGAAGCAGAGGACAAGAAGGCCAAAGCAAAGGCCAAGATCATCCTGAGCGTCGACGAGACGCTATACATCCACGTAGTGTCGGCCAGTACAGCGGGAGAAGCATGGGAGAACCTGCAGCAGGCTTTCGAAGACAAAGGGCTCACAAGAAAAGTTGGTTTACTTCGCAAGATGACAACGACGAGATTGGAAAATTGTGATTCCATGGAGAGCTACATAAACGAAATTATGTCGACCGCGCATCAGTTAACCTCGATCGGAAAAAGGAAGATGGAGAGAAAAAGCGATCGGATCGCGAGAAGAAGAAGAGCGACGGCGGCGCCAGGGTGGCGTTTCTCGCACACGGTGTCTTCAAGAAAGAAAATCGATCCTGGATCGTGGACTCGGCAGCCTCAGCTCACATGTCACCAAGTAGAGACATTTTCAGTTCGTTCGTGGAACTCAGTGAATCGAAAGTGATTGTCGCGGATAATACGAAACTAAAAGTAAAAGGCAGTGGTACCGTGAGTATACCATTGCTCGTGAATAATCAAACACGCGTTGTTATAGCGGAAGATGTGCTTTACGTTCCAAAGTTAAGGGGATGCTGGAGTCTGTCTGTTTT